ACTAGTTGACTATATTTAATATGTCGTTTATCTGCCGACCCTTGACATAATCTGTAAGCAATCATCTGTTTTGGATCGGCTATGTATTTTTGGTTTCACGGAAATTTGGAAAATATGACCGCACTGTTTAGATTTTGATCTGTATTGAGATTTAAATTAATCTCATTGAATTTGTTGTTTGCGTTTTCGTTAAGTTAAAAAAACACGAAACCAATCTATTTTGAAAGAAAGTTCTACTAAGATCTGATTAATCCATGTTTCCCCCTTTTTAAACCAAATAGCTTGAACTACATTAAAGCCACACGTAAAACATGTAATAAAAAAAAGAGAACACCAAAAGATATCATGCTGATTATTTATTCATTTTTATAGTGATTACATAATTCAGTGATAAAACTTGCTCCCCTTTCGCTGTAAAAAATCTGTCAAACTAATGTTAAAATATAAGAGCGCGTATGTGACCAATTTAAGGTCAATGCCAGAAACGCTTTATTCCAAAATCAGTTTAATTTGGTTAGGACAATTCTTGACCATAGGAGTAAAAGAGCAACAAATTTATGATATGATATATTTAGTGTCCCAAGGATAGTGACGTAGTGATAGAAAATCAATAATATGTATTTGTATATTATGCAACATTCGATTACCATTACATTACTAGCGCTAAAAACGATAAGGGTCACAAATCGTCCGCCGGAATATGTTACAACAGCCACTCATTTCTTTCATAATTTGCAAGATGTCCCTGGACCAATTGTATAGTGGTCACATTCTCAGGACCTGTTGCTGAGTGTGACCATAGATCAGGGTTGTTAAAAAGGTTCAGTTGTTAGTTGCCGTGGTGCGAATAACTGCTATGAAAATCGATTACAGATAACATACAAATATATATTTTCTTATCTCTGCGCAAACATTTGAAACTTTGAAAATAGTTAGATGTATACGCAGGGATAACAAACGAAGTATATCGTGCCAATACTATTCTAATAATATCCTTTCAGGATTAATACAAATTGCGTTTATATATTTTTAGTGCGAATGAAGTACATTATAATACCGGATACGATGATTATAATGAAAAAGGAGTATTGAGCTTATTAAATCCAGCTAAAGCTTCGTGGACATTGCATTTGGAAAGGCTCAGTCAAAGGACGTAACTCAAATGAAAAGGTTTAAAAAAATGTTTTCAAGAAAAAAGAAAGAAAGAAAGAAATAGAGAAAGAAAACGGAACCTCAATATAAGGTGTAAGTAATGTGTGGTAAATATAAAAGCATTTGTAATAACGATATTAAAACAGAAAAGAAATGAAAAAAGAAAAGAAAGAAACCCTTTGCACTTTGCTAGTTATGGATAAATATGGTAGATTATAGAAATAGATTAACAAGTGCATCATCTACAAATATAATCTACAAGTTGGGGATAGTGACCTAGCAGCAATGCCTTAGTTTTATAAAGGTATTGCTATAATACAAGAAAATAGGTTAGGCTGTCTACACTGATAAGCTGGGTTGAACTAAATGATGCACTTTTAACAGTTAACATGCAGCTATACTAGTTAATAATGAGCATTCAAGGAAAGAAAAGACCTTGCCCGTCTACTTTTATCTTGTCTAGCTTGAAAGCAAAAAACCTCGTATTGGTACTGCAAGCAATGGCACAGGCAAACAGCCAGCTTCAAGCAAGCAAGACAAGTCTACATTTCTAGGAAGAGCGTATATTTCGATATAATCAGTTAAATGCGGTTATTGTAGCAGATACATTTAGTGCATTTCTTAATCTTAAATTAGGAATCATGAAATAACAAGATACATGATATTCATGATACATGCATGGGTTCATTATATATAGTAACCCGTTAGCTCAACGTACGTCAGCTTTTGTACTAACACGATAACTTGCGTCACGTGATGGTGCTAAAACTCTATTAAAATGCAATGAGCCCCAATTTCTTTGAACTTGATGCACAGATACAATACAATATAAGTTGTACTAAGCAAAAAAAGAAAAAAATCTGAATTCTAACTATTATAATACGGCTATGCTATTATCTGTTGAGATACAAGTATCTCCATTTGTAGAACATTAAACTCATCGCTAGTAAATGAGATTGGTAGATTGGTGGAAT